AAGCCTAAACCCTAAAACCCTAATCCCTAAAACCCTAAACCCTAAACCCTAAAACCCTAAACCCTAAACCCTAAACCTCAAGCTGTGGGTGTCTAGGGTTTTGGGGGGAGGTCTGGGAGCCTTTGCTGTCGGGCTATGTCGGGGCTCCAGAAGTGGACCCATACCCTTTAGGGTTTAGGGTTTAGGGTTTAGATTTCTACATGGGGAGTTTCCGAAAATAGAGGACCCTAATATAGTACCCAATATAGTAGGGTCCTTACTATAAGAACCCCAAAACAATGTACCCCTTATTGTCGGAAGCTCCTAGACATGATATCATGTCGTACTTGATAAGATAACGGAACACAATGTAACGTTATACTGAATTACAGTACGTTTTCTTGTATTATGTGACATTGAATTGCTTTAAGTTTTCCTATATTGTGCCCTAAACCTTAAACCCTAAACCCCAAACCCTAAACCCTAAACCCCAAACCCTTAACCCTAAACCCTCAACCCTAAACCCTAGACCCCAAAAACCCTCAACCCTAAACCCTAAACCCTAAACCCTAAACCCTAAACCCTAAACCCTAAACCGCCTGTTTCCGAACCACTCTTCGGATCCCTTCTGGAGCGTCTCTGCGCTCGGAAAGCAGCTGGCCAGACGCTTGCAGGTTAGGGTTGAGGGGATTTTTGGGGGTCTAGGGCTTTAGGGTTGAGGGGATGTTTGGGGTTTAGGGTTTAGGGTTGAGGGGATTTTGGGATCTAGGGTTTTAGGGTTGAGGGGATGTTTGGGGTCCAGGGTTTAGGGTTGAGGGTTTTTGGGGTTTAGCGTTTTAGGGTTGAGGGTTTTTGGGTTTGGGCGGTTTAGGCGTTGAGGGGATTTTTGGGGTCTAGCGTTTTAGGGTTGAGGGTTTAGGGTTTAGGGTTTAGGGTTTTAGGGTTGAGGGTTTGGGGGTTTAGGGTTTTAGGGTTGAGGGTTTCGGGGTTTAGGGGCTTAGGGTTTCGAGTTTAGGGTTTAGGGGTTTAGGGTTTAGGGGTGTAGGGGTTCCGGGTTCAGGGTTTAGGGGTCAGGGGTTTGGGTTGAGGGTTGAGTAATTTAGGGGGGCCCCTGAACCAATGGAGTGGAGACCTTGGTGTTTTGAGCACCGGGTGGCCTCTGCCATCGAGGCAACGCCGGGCATGCTTTCTGGTCATTCCTCGTCGTTTAAAGTCGACATAGCCCTCAAAAAGCTGCAGGCTCGGCTCATTTTTGCCCGACTAGTCCCCTGCTAGAGGGCCTGTTCGGCACCATGGTGCTGTCCTAGTAAGGCTTAGGATTTAGACTTCAGTTTTAGACTTCAATGTTTTAACTTTGCCAATCGACAGGTGGCACCGCCCAGCGCACTCGTCGCGCTGGCTCCGGGGGGCCACTTGGTGCGCCCATATCCGGATCTGGCTCGTGCTCCTCACATGTCTGTCCTCTTCAAATTTGTTGGGTTTGGGTTTAGGGTTTAGGGTTTAGGGTTTAGGGTTTAGGGTTTAGGGTTTAGGGTTTAGGGTTTAGGGTTTAGGGTTTAGTTGGTGTCATACTGTTCCTTCCTACCCTGTTGACCAATTTGGGGGTTCTGGATTCCGAGGGTTCGCACCGAGATCAAAAGATGACCTGCACCGACTCTGCAAAGCCCAAACTCTCAACCCTAAACCTTAAAGCCAATTCTAAATAATGTGCAACTCAAGCCTAAGCTGTAAAGCCCGAACCCTAAACCAGCGCACGAACCCTAAACCTTAAGCTCTAAATCCACAATCCTAGTATATGGTAGTATAGTCTAGTCTATTATGAATATTCTAGTAGTACTTTATAGTATACTATATTATCGTGCAGTATCTTATATGAGGGTTTCCGAAAATAGGGGACCCTAACATAGTACCCTAAATAGTAGGATCCTTATTATCAGGACCCCAAAGGAAGGTACCCCTTATGTTCGGAAACTCTCACTTTATATTCTAGTAGTACTTTATAGTATACTATATTATTGTGCAGTAAACCCTAAACCCTAAACCCAAAATCCTAAACCCTAAACCCTAAACCATAAGCCCTAAACCCTAAACCCTAAACCCTAAGCCCTCAGCCCTAAACCCTATATTATATTGTGGCGCGCTCCTCCCGAAGTCAGTTCTTCTTCTTCGGAGGTTCCGGCTCAGAGCGCACAAAATGCGAAGAGGAGGCTGCAGGATCAGGCCCCAAGCGCGAGGGGCAGGGGGTTAGATAAGAAAGCTTATAAAAAGGGGGGTGGCTTAAGGGGTTTAGGGGTTCAGGGTTTAGGGTTTAGGGTTTAGGGGTTCAGGGTTTAGGGTTTAGGGGTTCAGGGTTTAGGGTTTAGGGGTTTAGGTTTCGATTTTCCTGGTTCTTGCCGTTGGTGGTGGTGGTGACGGCAGGAAAGGTTCGAAGGGTTGCAACAGTCGCGATGGTGCGGAAGGCGAGGATGACGGGAGAGCATCAGCTCCAATCGACTCGGTGAGATCGGTTTAGGGTTTAGGGGTCAGGGTTTAGGGTTTAGGGGTCAGGGTTTAGGGTTTGGGGTTTAGGGTTTAGGGGTCAGGGTTTAGGGTTTAGGGTTTAGGGAAAAACCGGCGTAAGTGGATTGCCCAGAGCATGATTCAGCTTGAGCTGCGTGTTTGCTATCAGTGGATTCCCGTCAGAGCCCTTCCTTTTCTGAACTTTTCGGCTCAGGCAAAGTTGAGGCGGCCTAAGACGGGCATGCCCAGCAGGTTGGTTTCAGGTGTATAGCCCTAAACCCTAAGCCCTAAACCCTAAACCCTAAACCCAAATAGCTTCGGTGCTATGTTGCAGCTTAGGTTTCAGTGAGCTTAGGTATCGTTGCTGAAGCGAAGCGGCGCCAAGGCTCCCCTTCCTGAGAGCTCAGGCAGTTTCTCACTAGCTGAAGAGAGGGTTTAGGGTTGAGGGTTTAGAGTTTAGGGTTGAGGGTTTAATTAGGGTTGAGGGTTTAGGGTTTAGGTTTTAGAGTTTAGGGTTTAGGGCTTTAGGGTTTAGAGTTTAGGGTTTAGGGTTTAGGGTTTAGAGGTCCTCACCCGCTCAGTAATGGATGCTGCGCCGTCAGAACCCCTCGCGCTCTGTCGCCGGTCTGCGTGGCCTTGTGGTCTGAGCTGTTCGAGCGCCTTGGAAGCAAGTGAGGAAGACAACCCTAAACCCTAAACCCTAAACCCTAAACGGACCATCACTACATTGCTGAGACTTCTAGCCTTCGAGCTGCTTCGCGGACATTCCCTATGCTGGAAAGAGGTGCCAGGAATGCTGTGCCAACCAGTCCCTGCGCCAGTGCTGCCACAAGCAGAACCCCTCCCACCACCACTGCTGCTGCTGCTGCTACTGCTACTACTACTACTACTACTACTACTGCTCCTGCTGCTGCTGCTGCTATTACTACTACACCACTACTACTACTACTACTACTACTACTACTACTACTCCTACTACTACTCCTACTACTGCTACTGCTACTGCTACTGCTACTGCTACTGCTACTACTACTACTACTACTACTACTACTACTACACTACTACTACTAGTACT